CAAAAAAAAAAAAAAAAAAAAAAAAAAAGAGACAAGACACATTTCTGAGCAATCACACCCAGAACACTGACAGGAACAGGCTGTTTCGGGCCACAACAGAACCATCAACAACATAAGAAGAATCACTATCACACAGACTGTGTTCCCCCAACAGAGCTCAACGAATCCAAAACACTAAGTTGACTATAGAAAGGTAACTTTAAAATCCCAAGTTTAAAAATAAGTTAGGATTAGTAAAAAGCCTAAGATATAAAAGTGACAATTCTAGGTTTCCATCTTGATAGAGATAGTTAAAGCAGAACTTGGAAGGCTAATTCTTAGTAATTCACCAGACAATAAAAAAAGTAAAAAAATACCCAAGAAGTTAGAAAAAGAATTGTAAAGCAAATGCAAAGAAACAAGAGAAAAATAGCAAATATAAAGGCATCTACTGAGAACAGAACTATTAAAACCAAGCAAATGAAATAATAAAAAAATCACATAAAGATCAATGACACTAACAGCTAGTTCTTTACATGTTACACAGTGTACACACGTTGAAACACTGTTATCCCATTAGGATGTACAATTTTATATTTTTATGTAGCAGGTAAAAAGGACATTTAGTTAAAGGAAAATTAGTTCTTAGAAAACAGTAAGACTGCAAATACCGAAAAAGGCAAAAAATGATGACAATGAATTATAGAACTAAAAAGGGAAACAGCGTCTGACAGTTTTTTCATGTACAATGATGATGGGTAGCACTGTCAGTATCAACTGTATAGAGGCAGAGTTAAAAATATACACGACAGGGCCAGGGATGGAGCTCAGGGGTGCCGCCGCCTGCCTCGCAAGTGCAAGGTCCTGAGTTCGATCCCGATACGGGGCGGGGGGAGTATACACATATTCACGGCAGGCACATTTCTCAAAAAATGTAAAAGGTCACATTTACTATAAGCTGCCGTAGTAAGGCTCAAACCTTGCAATCAGATTTTTTCTTTCCTGTTAGAACCCACCTTATCAGGTAAGACCTGTCACCTCTGTCCTCAGATGTGTGGAACAAGACTTATCTGCTAGGCTGGAGCACAGGTAATGAGGGTGCAAACCCAGCCTTGTCCATGCGTCTTCACAGTGCTGTCCGAGAGGATCTTTCTAGGTTTCTCACTTCTTCTACTTCTCCCTTGTAGAACATAAACTCTGTGGCTGTCTTCTGCATCCACAGCAGTGCCTGCATATGTTACCTTCAGTCTACGCTGCTGAAATCGTAAGCAAGCCATGCCTAAGGTTCTCTGCAGTCATCCTCCGCCCTGTTCCAACACCGCCCCTGAAGATGATGCGCAAAGCCCAAGTGAGACCTAAAGCCTCGAGACACACACAACTTTCCCCCCAAGACAGTTCATCCCTTCAGTCACAAGAGGGGCCAGAAAAAGAATTAGGCTGTGTGATGAACACGTACCAACTCCTCATGATGCGCTGCAAATGTACTGATAAAAATTAAAATTTAAAAAGATTATTTTAAAAATGGGGACCTAAAAAGTACCAATAAACTCAATTTAAAAAATAAATAAATAAAAATGGAAAAAACTGGGGGGGCCTCCGGGAAGCTGTGACAGGAGGACTGCGAGTTTGCGCCAAGCTTGGGCAACTTAGCGACTAAGGGAGACCTTGCCTGAAAATAAGGAAAGACCTGGGTTCCATGTGATTCCTGGTACCAGCAGAAAACAACAAAACAGAACAAAACCCAAAAATACTAACCCCAAAAGCATAATGTTTACATTTGTATTAAAAATTAACAAAACCCATTAGCACTGCCAGAAAAACCAATTACCATGTGTACACTTCCTTTCAAAATCCACTCTCAGGTGCTGGGTGTGCAGCGCAGCGGTTCAGTGAGTGCTTAGCATGTGCCTGGCCCTGCAGCCCTCAGCTCCCCAAATAATAAATAACTAGAGAAAAACACACTGCACTGAACAGGAGAGACTTGGAAAATAAGAGGCTTCCAATTTCCCATTTTTTAGCGCGTCACAAAATACAAGGAACAAGGAGGCGGAAGATGTGCCGAGAGCACTTTTATCCCAAACATCTCCAGGCCTGGAGGTTCGCCTCCTACAATCTCATTTCAGACCTGGAGCAGAAGAGGTGAGGAAGACAGGTCCTGCTCCTCAGACACAGCACTGGCCATGTTTTCTCCACCTCGTGGAATCAAAGACTTTTAATTCAGGCAAAACAAACTAAGAAGTCATGGAAAGTTACCTCCCCTTAGTCCCTGTCCTACTCTTGAACTCCATTTTATAGATAAAGAAATAAGCCGGAAGTATAAAAATCTCGAATATAGTTACAAAGCTAATTGTTAGCCGGAAACTAAGCTCTTGTAGTAGAGTCTAATTCAATTCTTCCTTTTTTGCTTTTTGAGCCAGTGTCTCGACACGTAGTCCAGGTTGGTCTCGAACTTGTGACCCTCCTGCCTCAGCCTCCCAAGTGCTTAAATTACAGGCATGGGTCACTTTGCCTGGCTTGAACATCACTTTGAAGAAAAAAGTTGGCTTCAAATTTCTCCTTCATCGGCTTAAGGCACTACGCTCAAATCCTGACATTGCCACCGTACCCAGTGCCGCCTCACTCACACGAGGGACCGTCACAGCTCTGTGCCATGGAACCCCAGGCAGGAGATGGACCCTGGGTGAGGGGACTCAGCGGTGCAGGTCACGCATGACAGCCTGAGCCCCGCCACCTGTCCAGCCCACGTCTGTGCACACAAGCACACCGTGCACCGGCCAGTGAGGCGGTCCCCGTGCGGGGAAGCGTGGACTGTCACCACACTCAGAGCGCAGTCCCCAGGGTGGCAGGGCCTGCAGAGGTCACACAGAGGGAAGACAGGAACCACAGAAGCAGGGCAGTCTCCTGAGGCGGCCCTGTGGGACGTCTCTGAGAAGCGGGAACCTGACCTCTGCCTTCTGCCCCACAGCAGCCCTGCAACTGGGATGGCACCCAGTGTC